ACACTGTCTTCCACAATGGTTGAACTAATTTACACTCCCACCAACAGTGTAAAAGTGTTCCTATTTCTCCACATCCTCTCCAGCATCTGTTGTCTCCAGATTTTTTAATCATCACCATTCTAACTGGCGTGAGATGGTATCTCAATGTAGTTTTGATTTGCATTTCTCTAATGACCAGTGATGATGAGCATTTTTTCATATGTAACAAATTGTTATTCTAAAATCTGATGTCACCTTTCCTCATGGCCCACTCCTACAAAATATCCGCTCTTAAAACCCTTCAGGATACAGTACGAAGTCCAAACTTCTTAGCATGTCACAAAAAGTCCTTAGCATCATATCTTACCACAGCCCCTTAATTCTCATGTCCCAGCAGTTCTGAATTCCATGTAACACCCCAAGCATGCGGCTTCACACCCAGCATGCTTGCTTCCACTACCTGGAACATCTTCCCTCCATTCTGCCTGGCCATCTGCCAGCTCCTCCAGGCTCTGCCTTACAGCCTCAGGCTCACTTCTCTTGTCTGGCTAGTGAGCCCATCAGCTAGGCAGTTCATCTACAAGTACCGGCAAGCTGCAGTGAAGTATTAATGTGCTTATTAAAATAATAGTAGTTCCTTATGGAAAGAAAACACATTTTCCTATTTGCCACAGTCTGCACATCCTCACTTTTACTGCATTTTGTCACATCTGGCCCACTTCTTTGAGTAATCTGGAGTTGAGACTTCTCACTAACTTATTCCCATTTTACGAAGTTGTTAGATTTTTCTCCATTAGTACCCTGGGCTGGTCTGAGATAGGTGAACACAGAGTAGCAATCCTTCATCTCAAGGAAGACACCTCTCCCCTATGAGGTCAGTTAGTTTAGAGGTTAAAACTACAATCCTGCTCCCAATGCTCCACTTTCTTTTTTTTTTTTCTGGTAGACTTTCACTCTTGTTGCCCAGGCTGGAGTGCAGGGGCGCAATCTCAGTTCACTGCAACCTCTGCTTCCTGGGTTCAAGAGATTCTCCTGCCTCAGCCTCCCAAGTAGCTGGGATTATAGGCACCTGCCATCACGCCCGGCTAATTTTTTCTATTTTTAGTAGAGATGGGGTTTCTCCATGTTGGCCAGGCTGGTCTCAAACTCCTGACCTCAAGTGATCCATCCACCTCAGCCTTGCAAAGTGCTGGGATTACAGGTGTGAGTCACCATGCCTGGCCCTCAGTGCTCCATCTTCTAACCCAGTGGTCTCCCAAGTAGGTGTACTTCCCCCAAGGGAAGCACAGAATGATCCACTGGGTGTGGAGGTAAATATTAGAACTTTCATTGATGTTAATTTTTATAAAAAACACAAAGAAAAAGATAAAATTAACAGTTAACATATGGACTAACTATAAGACATTCCCTGGGCCATGTTAAGTGGTCACGTGTTGAAGACAGGGCACAACCGGTATCCTGAGGGCTGTGGGAGAGTTTCATAACACAGAGGGGCCACTACCCTCTTCAGTCAGTCATCTTCATTATACCAAAGACTAATGCCTCCATAAGGTTATTGAGTTTCTAAAGCTTGAACACTGAGGCCTCAGGCATTTAAAGCCGGGAGGATAAAAAGATGCTATGGAGGAGGCTAGGACTTCCAGGGTGAAGCTGGTGGACAGGAGGAAAACTGCAAGAGGATGACAATGTAGAAGCCAAGTGAACAAGGAAGAAAGTGGTCAACTGGATGAAATGCTGAAAGCTTTCGGATGAGAACTGGATTTCACAGGAAGGCACTTTGGCAGAGTGCTTTCACTGGAGTAGAAAGGAAAACACAAGTTTAATAAGAGTGGTTTAAGACAGAGTAGCAGGTGAGGAAGTAGAGATAGTGGGTCATGAGAATCCTTTCAAGGAGGTTGTTAAAAAGGGGTACAAAAATGCAGCAGTTGGAAGGGATGTAGAATCAAGCAACTTTTAAAGATGAAGATATGACATATTTAAATGCTGATAGAAATAATCTACCTTTACCACCCCCAAGCACTGCTGGGCCTGCAGGTCTCTGTCAAGCCATGGATCTGAGTCTCTGTTGCACAGGATGGGGTTTGTTAAAGTTGTTAAGAATAAGACCTACTTTAAGAGATACCAAGTGAAATTTAGAAGACAAGGAGAGGGTAAAGCTGATCACTATGCTCGAAAACACCTGACGATACAGGATAAAAATAAATACACCCAAATACAGGATGATAGTTCATGTAACAGAGATATCATTTGTCAGATTGCTGATGCCCGTATAAAGGGGATATGAGAGTCTGTGCAGCACATGCACATGAACTGCCAAAATGCGGTGTGAAGGTTGGCCTGACAAAGTCTGCTACAGCGTACTGTACTGGCCTGCTGCTGGCCTGCAGGCTTCTCAACAGGTTTGGCCTGGACAAGATCTATGAAGGCCAAGTGGAGGTGACTGGTGAAGAATACCACGTGGAAAGCGCTGATGGTCAGCCAGGTGCCTTTACCTGCTATCTGGATGCAGGCCTTGCCAGGACTACCACTGGCAATAAAATTTTTGGCACCCTGAATGGAGCTGTGGATGGAGGCTTGTCTATCCCTCACAGTGCCAAACGATTCCCTGGTTATGATTCTGAAAGCAAGGAATTTAATGCAGAAGTACACCGGAAGCACATCATGGACCGGAATGTTGCAGATTACAGGCGCTACTTAATGAAGAAGATGAAGATGCTTACAAGAAACAGTTCTCTCAATACATAAAGAACAGCGTAACTCCAGACATGATGGAGAAGATGTATAAGAAAGCTCATGCTGCTTTACGAGAGAATCCAGTTTATGAAAAGAAGCCCAAGAAAGAAGTTAAAAAGAAGAGGTGGAACCGTCCCAAAATGTCCCTTGCTCAGAAGAAAGATCGGGTAGCTCAAAAGAAGGCGAGCTTCTTCAGAGCTCAGGAGCGGGCTGCTGAGAGCTAAACCGAACAATTTTCTATGAGGATTTTCCAGGTAAAGGCAATAAACTTATAGACGGCACACACAAAAAAGAAATAATCCAGTAAAGAGGGGAAAATTGATAACAAGATAATGTGTAACTATAAACATAAAGTCTTTGAACACTGTGCCCAACAGGAACAGGAGCAGTTTTGCCTTGTGACAAGACATATGGCACACTACAGGTACGGTGCAGATTGGCAGACAGGTAGATCTGGTGGTAGGAAAATGAAGAAAGAAATTCTGTTATTAACCAGCTTCTACTTTCATAGTTAAAAAAAAGAAAAAAAGTCACCAGATAAGAACAAGGAAAGAGAGATGGGATATTAAAAGAGCAAGGAGAGCAAGGAGAACAAGGTTGTGAAGCTGCTCCAGAAAGCAGGAGAGACAATTCCTGAGGGAAACAGAGCACACGAGGTTTGGAAACACATATTTGAAGTGTGGCCAGTTAGCATGGGGTGACACTTTTCTCCAGCCACAATGAGTTACTCAGATTCAGGTGACGAGTAGGCAGAGAATAACCAGGGCTGAGACTTTTCCAGAGTACTGAGGAGAAAAAGGCAAGGGAGACACTTAAGGCTGCACACTACAGAGTGGAGCAGTGGACCTGACGGATGGAATCTACGCCAGTTAAGAATGAGAGAAATCCAATAAACAACATTTTTTTGTAACAGCAATTCAAAAACCTTTTGCTCTCCCTAAAAATTAATAGTTTAGATGTTTAATTTTTAAATATCTTGTCAACTGTGATGGCTTCTTCAGATCACTAAATGTCCCCAACATTCACCTTGTTACACAGGCCAAAAGTCTGATGGCCTGTGACTTGATGACTTTTTCTCAAGAACATTCAAAACCTGTTCTCTTTTGAAAACACACTCCGACCTCAACTCCTTCCCAGCACCTGTACCAACCCAACTCCTTCCCAGCACCTCAACCAACCCAACTCCCTCCCAGCACCTCGGCCAACCCAACTCCCTCCCAGCACCTCGGCCAACCCAACTCCCTCCCAGCACCTCGACCAACCCAACTCCTTCCCAGCACCTCTACCAACCTAACTCCTTCTCAGCACCTCTACCACTGCTACCGTGGGGCTGCTTATGCTTGGACCATTCCATTGCATGTCCCTTATTATCTGTTTTTTCCACTCAGAAGCCAAAGAACTTCACATCTAAATCAGATGAAGCCCTTACTTTCAACCATTCAATGCCTCTTGGTCACACCCGGAAAAAATAAAATCCAAATCCTGACCATGGCCTATAAGCTCCTACATGGCCCAGCTCCTGGGTCTCTCTCCCATTCACCTTCCCCCTTTCTGTCCTGTCCAGTCACAGGCCTCTGACATTCTTCAGTCTTGCCAAACACACTCAAATCTCAGGAACTTTGTACCTGCTCTCCCTGGAACAGTGTCTCCTCAAAAGATTCATCCGATTTGCTCTCACTTCATTCAGAGCTCTGCTCTAATGTCAATTCCTCACAGAAACCTTCCCTGACCATCCACCTTAAAACACTGACATGCCAATACCTTTTCTCCTTTCTCTGTTTCACTTTTCTTCAAAGCACTTATTACCTCCTATTACAATCCTATTTTTCTGTCTTCCGCACAGGAATGTAATCTCCATGAGGGACTTTCTGCTTCTGTCACCACTGTGTCCCAGGTGCCTACAATTGTGCATTTTACATAAAGTTTCAATATTTATTTATTCAATAATGAGTCCTTTAGTCTTTTTGTGCATTTAAAAATATATTTATGTCCATCAGTCTGGAAGGACATTGGGGCTGAGGTTGGCACTCGTATCAAGAACAGTAACTACCGTGGCTTCCGACGTTTTGCCAAAAGCTCAGAGGCGTGGCCTTCTGGCCAGGCGTCTGCGATTTCATATGGTTGGAGCATTCCTGGTATCCCTGGGGGTTGCAGCTCTCTGTAAGTTTGGTGTGGCTGAACCAAGAAAGAAGGCATATGCAGATTTCTACAGAAATTACGGTCCCGAGAAAGATTTTGAGAGATGAAGAAGGCTGGTATCTTGGAATAGAAAGTGATCTTGGAATACAAAGAATTTCTTCAGGTTGAATTACCTAGAAGTTTGTCACTGACTTGGGTTCATGAACTATGACATCTGAATATGAGGGCTAAGAAATAGTTTCTCTTGACAAACAATTAACAAATAATATATATATATATATTTATACATTAATACAAGAATATAATTTATAAATAATATACTGGGGATACATACCCAAACATTTTTACTGAAGGGGCATACAGTAAAAAGCAAAGAAAATGCTGACAATCACAGATGTAACCAATCAACAAACCAGCACACATTCCCTAAGGACAGTGTCATAGAGTGCCTGTCACACTCCCTCTCAGAGGAGGCTTTGGTCATGTCCATTTGCTCCTCACAAGAAGAAAAAACTCCCCAGATGTGGTTAAGGCCTTCAACCAACAATTCTGTCCTCTGCCCTTATGCTCCTCTGGAATATTTTGCTAGAAATGAATGGATTGTTTGTTCTGATACGAAGAGGAGCTGATTACTTACTGGTCCTACGCAGTTGAGGACAACTGTTGCCTGTTTAGCCATTTCTTCAAGTGAGGCTGGATTAGCGATATCACATATGATGATTCCAACTTCAGATGACAGTGTTGGTCTTCCTAAAATAAGAAACAAATTAAGTAAAGCAAATTTCGGTAGAGGATTAAATCTTCCATGTCTTTTTACAGCAATCAGTGACAGAAAATTACTAAATACACTAATAAACTGAAAGCTAGCTCTCTGTCTTGAATAAAACTTTTAATCAGGTAATAAAAAAGGAAAAGTCTATGAGGAAAACTGAATTGCCACTAAGGGTTACTAAAAAACTGACCTTTTAAAAAAATCTAATAAAATAATTGTGTAAATAACAACCATGTGTAACATGACAATTTCACAATCAAGTTTAAATGCTGAGCAGATGACTACCCAGACTTCCTCTCCAGCAAGGAATTTATATCATAAAAATAGTTTCTTGGCCAGGAGCAGTGGCTTGCCTGTAATCCCAGCATTTTGGGAGGTCAAGGCGGAAGGATCTCTTGAGCTCAGGAGTTCAAGACCAGCTTGGGCAACATAACAAAACTTTGTCTCTACTAAAAAAAAATAATAAATAATAATAATAATTAATAATAATAATCTGTTCATGGTGGCATACACTTGTAGTCCCAGCTACTCAGGAGGCTGAGGTGGCAGGATCGCTGAGACACAGAGAGGTCAATGCCACTGCACTCTAGCCTGGGTGGCAGAATGAGACCTTTAAAAAAATTTTAAAGTTTCTCATCAACTACTTAACAATTACTGTGATCCGCTGTAGGTGATGGAGAGGTACTGACTGTTAACATCAAATCCATTAGAACTCTGAGGTGAAAATTACATGCTATATAAACACACACACAGGCTCGTATAATATAATAGTTGGAATTAACTGGCTCAACTAAGTGATACAGGTTTCAATAGCTCAAGGTATATCCCCCACAATAAAACCTGGTTTGGGCATTATATATGGTAAGTGACTAAGCTGTACCCATCCGATCTTGCTGAGCTGGAAAAAGAAATGGAAGCATGTATTTTAATAGTGAAATTACTTCTCCTGGAAAAATAAAGTCCAAAAAGCTCTTTGGTCAAAATTATGTGTTGGTAGTGTCAGCACCAAAAGCTGCAGAAGAATCTAGCCTACGTGGTGTCTTTGTATCTACCCAGAACAGAAGCACCCTGAGCAGGGCATGGTATGAAAGCAGGTTAAACAGAGAGAATGTATTAGTTCCAGAATGCTAGCAGGTGTTTGTACAAGTGAAATCTAGGGTGGGGAGTTAACAGCCAAATCTAAAGGCTACAGAGTCCTAAGTTAGCTGTCTCCCCAGCCGTAAAGGCAACAGGGTCTGTGTCGTCTATCTCCTCTCTGTCCCACCTGCAACCCCAGACTCAGGACAGGACCTAGCATGGACCAGGTCACTCAACAAATATATGCTACCTGAATGCTTAGAGAATAAGCAGGCGTCTCAACCAGAAAGACAAGCTTTTTATTTTATGAAGAGGAAGACTGCCTGGAGTATTCCTACACACAAAACAATAAACTAAAGCAGGAGAGCCACAAAAGCCACTGTCAGTGCATACAACTCTTAAGCTTGCTGTCCCATCCTCAAAACACAAGGCAAAGGGAGACTCCGATCTCCAAGAAACCAAAATCCTCCTCTCCTCTGCGACCAAATATCGCGAACCAGCTCCCCACCCCCAGACTCAACAGGTGCCCCTGCTGTGGGGCAGGATGGAGCAGAGAGGGACGATTTCGCCAGAGGAACTCCCCAGACTGAGGCAGAAATTCAAAAGCGGGAAAGAAAAGGAAAAAAAAAAATATATATATATATATATATTTAAAATTATATATCTGTACACACACACGTGTGTGTGTGTGTAGCTGTGGCCGCCGCAGGCGCCCCGTCTTCTGGCCCTGCTGGAGGCGGAGGCGGAGGCGGCAGCCAGTTGTTCCGGCTGCACGAAGCGGGTGCGCAGAGAGCGAGAAAACCGCGGCGGACCCAGGGTGGCCCACGCCGAGAACGCTTCGGCTTTTCATGTTTTCTTTTTCACCCCCCCCACACACGTCGTTTGTTTTTTGTTAAGGACGTGGAACAAGGCCGCGGCAGTGTTGGAAACACCCCGCCCTCGCCTCGTCCTGTCCTCGAGCAGGGCTCGGGGCACACGCAGGGCGCCCCCTGCGGGGGACACGCTGGTCCGGGCGCGGCGGGGTCCCGGCCGCAGCCCCGTCCCACGCCGCCCCGTTACCCAGCTTCAGGGCCGCCCTCTCCAGCACTCGCTGCAGCTTCTCCCAGGAGCGGCCCGCCACGGCCCAGGGCAGGCGGGAGCTCCGCTCCGGGTCCACCTGCTCCCGGGCCACCTCCTCGGTCACGAACTGGCCGGTGAAGCCAGAGGCGCCGAACACCACCAGGTGGAAAGGCCTCTCCGCGGTCGCCATGACGAGTCCACAGCGAGTCCAGGCCCGGGGCGGGCTGAGCCCACGGCGCCTGCGCCTCAGGCAGCGACCACAGTACCGGGCGCAGCAACTGCCGCCGTCAGGGCCGCCGCTGTCGCCGCAGCCTGCGCGCCGCGTTCCCTTCACCGCGCGCACGTCGCCACGCCAGGGCCACGCCCACGGCACGCCCACGATACGCCAGGGCCACGCCCACGATACGCCAGGGCCACGCCCACGACACGCCCCCTCGCGCCGGAGCCGCTGTCTCCCCAGCCTGGGCCGGGAGGCGCCTCGGGCGGCGGCTCTGGCTGCACCTCCGCTTCCAAGCCTGGCAGACGCGGACCGCGGGCCCTGGCTCCGTCCCGCCGCGGGCCCCGCACTGCTCTGGCCGCCCCAGGCGCCCCATCTTCTAGCCCCGCTGGAAGCTGGTGGCGGCAGCCGGTTGTTCTGGTGGCACGAGGGTGTTGTGCAAAGAGAGCGAGAAAACCTGCGGATGACGCGAGGGGTGGCCCAGGCCGAGAACATCGCCAGGGGATGTCCGCGAGGCCCGGGGGACGGGGACGGTGAACGCGGGCTCACGAGAGGGAACACTCGTGAGGGGTGCAGAGGAATGCCTTGTACTGTCCTTTAGTATTTTTTGCAGATCTAAAACTATTCTAAAATTAACATTTTATTTTAAAAACGTTAAGTGTCATTGTGTCAGTTACATGCAAATGTCGCGTCATTTAATGCTGTGCAGCAAGCATTTCCAGAGCCTGTGATGGGCCGGCTCTGACACAGATCCTGGGATTGCAATGGCTGGAAAGCAAGGGCCTTGCCTCCCTCTCTGGGATCAGTTGTTTAATTGCGGTACGCGTATGTAGCACATGGGCAGAACTGACTGTGGAGCAGAAGAAACGAGGAAAGACACTTGTCCTGGTGGTGTACCCCGCTGGCAGTGAACAGCCTATGCCAGGGACCCCTGGGAGTGGGGCAGTTGGTACAGAAAGTGAAGAAGAAAGCCTTCAGATAGGAATTTGGCCTTGACATAAGTTAATACGGCTTAGATATAGAAGAACTGAGAGAGGAACAGGTATTTATTCTATATACATTTTATTTTAATAAACACCAAGAAGACATTTGATAAAGCAACATCCATTCCTGATTTATTTATTATTTTTTGAGACGGAGTCTCACTCTGTCACTCAGGCTGCAGTGCAGTGGCGGGATCTCAGCTCACTGCCTCTCTTGGGTTCATGCCATCCTCCTGCCTCACCCTCCCAAGTAGCTGGGATCACAGGTGTGCACCCCCCACTCCTGGCTAATTTTTGTATTTTTAGTAGAGACGGCGTTTCATCATGTTGGCCAGGCTGGTCTCAAACTCCTGACCTCAGGTGATCCACCCACCTCGGCCTCCCAAAGTGCTGGGATTACAGTTAGGAGCCACTGCACCCGGCCCATTCCTGATTTTTTAAAATAGATGGATGCTTTTTAAAATTATAAATTATATTAGTCTTGCAAAAACGGTGCGGCCAATAACAAATATGCACCCTCAACACAGCTTAAGAAAAATATTCCAGATAGTGAGGCTTCCAGGTATTCATCCCTGAACCCATTTCCTCTCCTGTCCCCACCGCGGCCACTTGCCTGAGTTAGTATTTATCATTCCTGTCCCTACCTTTCTGTTTTATATGTGTGTGTGTGTGTGTGTGTGTGTGTGTGTGTGTATTTACAAATATTATAGTGCTGTTTTGCATATTTTGAGTATTTTGTAAATGTTAATCCTGCAACTTTCTTATTTGGTCATGTTGTTGTAAACTTATTCCCAGATGATTCAGAATAAAAAAATAATGTCTGTGATACGTGTGTGGAGACAGAGAGAGAGAAATGTGCCAAATTCTACGATGCTTTTGTACAATTTTGTATAATGCATTCGTACAATATAATATAAAGAATGCTACAATAAAATTCTTGTACAGTTCTCCTAAAGCACATATGCAAAAGTATATCTAATGTATGTCAGGAATGAAAATGGTTGGTGCTAGAATATTCACATTTGAGTTATCTCATTGCTCTTTGAAGCGAATGTACTAATTTTCACTCCCAGCAGGATACAGGAGTCCTCTTGCCTTACATCGTCATCAGCACTTGCTATTCTGAGACTTCATTCTTGTCCATCTGGGGGGTGTAAAGTAGTAAGCATTCAAGTATTTATTAAACACTTAACTATATACTAGGCACTAGGAATGAAGTACTGGGGATATGGTGACAAATAAAGCCCCTGCTCTCCTGACGTTTACATTCTAGTGGAGTAAACAGCACCAGAAAATCATCTTACACAGCCAGGCACAGTAGCATGCACCTTTAGTCCCAGCTACTTGTGAGGCTGAGGCAGGAGGACTGCTTGAACCTAGGAGTTGGAGGTTAGAGTGAGCTATGATCACATCACTGCACTCCAGCCCAGGTGACAGAGTGAGACATTGTCTCAAAAAAAAAAAAAAAAAACTAAACTAAAAGAACAGATTATAATATAGATAATATATATTTATATATATACCCTCTATATATAGTCAAGAATGCTTGCTATGGTTTGGATGTTTGCCCCTCCAAATCACACGTTGAAATGTAACCCCCAGTGTTGGAGGTGGGGCCTGGAAGGAGACATTTGGGTCATGGGGGTGTTTGTGACCATTCCCAGGGTGATGAGTGAGTTCTCTCTGCATGAGTTCACACAAGCGCCAGTAGCTGAAGCAGCCTGACTCATCTTCTCTCTCTTGCTCCCTCTCCCACCATGTGATACACCAGCTCCACTTCACCTTCTGCCACGATTGGAAGCTCCCTGAGGGCTCACCGGAAGCAGATGCTGGCGCTATGCTTTATGTACTTCCTGCAGAACCATGAGCCAAAATCAAACCTTTTTTCTTTATAAATTAACCAGCCTCAGGTATTCCTTTATAGCATTGCAAACATGGACTAACATAATGGTTGTTGCAGCATTGCTTGTAATAACAAAAAGTAGCAACAACTGAAGTGTCCTTTATCAGAGGAATTATTAAATAAATTATGGTATCCTCTTCATTCAATAGAGACTATACAGCTATAAACAATGAAGCATGACTATTCAGGTGGTTCTTGGTAAAAGCAACAACAAAAGAATGAAGTAGGCTGGGCACAGTGGCTCACGCCTGTAATCCCAGCACTTTGGGAGGCCAAGGCAGGAGGACCGCTTGAGACCAGAAGTTTCAGAACAGCCTGGGCTATGTAGCAAGACCCCATCTCTTAAAAATTTTTTTTTTGTTTTAATTATCCGGGTGTGGTGATGTGCGTCTGTAGTCCTGGCTACTTGGGAGACTGAGGTGGGAAGATTGCTTGAGCACAGGAGTTAAAGGTTACAGTAAATCATGATCACACTACTGCACTGCAGCCTCAGCAGAGCAGAACCATGTCTCTAAAAAGCAATGTGTCTAGTGACATGGAAAATTGTCCAAGATACATTGTAAGTGAAAACAAATTGCCCAACATTATAAGAGTATATAAGACAAAAAGGATGTATGTTTATGCACACAAAATGTTAATACATGATAAATCTTAACTGTAAAGTGCTTAGAAACATGCCTTATGCATGGTAACAACTCAATAAATGTTAACAGTAATAGTAACAGATTATGACTGGGAAGTCAGCTTGTATAAATTATGCAAGAGAAAGGGGTTCGTACTTTTTACCTTTCTACACTGTTGAAACTTTTTTTTTTTTTTACAGTAACTGTCTATCGCCTTTCTAATAATACAATTTTTTAAAGGAGCAGGGGCTGATCTTGCAGAAAGGCCTGAGGGGCAGCTGCGGGAGTCACACCCTGCCATCTGCGTGTTGACAGTCCTGACACTGAGGTCGTGCTCCTGCTGCTACCAGGGAACTTTATTTTTTGTCTATTATAACACACAACAATGTGAATGAATCCCACAAACGCTAATCTGAGCAGAAAGCCAAACAGAGAACATCTGTGTGATTCCTTTCATCTAAAGCTCAAAAGTAGACAAAACCAACTTACTGTGACAGGAATCTCAGAACAATTTGCTTTTGTGTAGAGCAGCCCCAGGTCTGGCCCTTCTTGAAGTAATTCTTCATCTAAAGGCTTTCCAAGGAATTCATTTTCCCAAGGGGCCAGCAGACAGTTTGATTTCTGTGCCAGGGTTAGTGCTAAGGAAAAGGAAAACCCCCTCTTCCTCCAAAAGAAGACAAGGTTGGCTGATGGACAGGCTGTTAGCCACCACCTCGCAAAGTCAAAAGCTGGGTCTTCTGTAGCCTGAGGGTGAAGGGTAGACTAAGGGCATGAGAAGAGAGAATGCCTGCAGCATCAGCTGTGAATGTTTCCTAGGTGACCAAGAGCCTCTCCTTGACCGAACTCTAGCCAGGCTCCTCCGAGCCCGGCTGTCCACTAGTCTCATCCTTGGCCTGTAAAGACTCGAACGAACACTAACACGGTTTCAAACAGCTCAGGGCCCCTTCCCCAGCATGACCCTGCCCCCACTCTTAACGTAGCTGCCTGAGAGAAAGCTCAAAGCTGCCCCAAGGATTTACTGCTTTTTCCAGCCGACACCTAAAGACAGAGCCCCTGTCTCCCAGCCTCTGTGGGAGGCTAGGTGCCTAACTTCCATACGCCGGTTAGTTAGCAAACCCAGATCAGTTTCACGTGGATCACCTCCCCCAGTATAGTTTGAATGTCTGTCTCCTCCAAACCTCATGCTGAAATGTGACCCCCAGTGTTGGAGGTGGGGCCCAGTGGGAGGCAGCTGGGTCACGGCTGGGTGCCCTCCCCCGCAGCAATCAGTGAGTTCTTGAGTTCTCACTCTGTTAGTTCATGTGAGAGCTACTTGTTTCACACAGCTGGGTGCTGCTCCTCTCTCCTGCCCCCACTCTCACCATGTGACATGCTTGCTCCCTCTTCGCCTTCTGCCCTGACTGTAAGCTTCCCGAGGGCCTCACCAGAAGCAGACGCTGGCACCATGCTTCTCATACAGCCTGCAGACCCCTGCGTCAAATAAACCCCTTTTCTTCATAAATTACCTGTCCCAGGTTTTCCTTTATACCAACACAGAATGGACTGATTTAGGCCAGGCTCAGTGGCTCAAGCTTGTAATCCCAGCACTTTGGGAGGCTGAGGCGGGCAGATCACTTGAGGTCA